TTAAAGTTGGATCACTGGTTCTCATGTGATATGACATAATTTCAACCATTAACTTCATGTATAGTATGATGTGTAAAACGATTAATAATCAAATATAAGATTGTAGTCTTCACCTCATATTTTATCTGCCAGCTCTATAATTGAAACATGATTTTGTATATATTGAATCATCTAAAAATATCACAAGATAGTATGTAATAAAAAAACAATAAAATATAATCTTGCTATAACTCCAAGTATCAACTTTTGACTAAATTAAATCATCAATATGCAATTAATAATAATATCATGAAAAAATGATTTAATAAAACAATTAAATATAAAAAATACAATCTTGTCACATATTTATTCATCAACTCCAATATTTTTGTTTGATTTTTGTTCAAATTAAATTATCTAAGAATATAATAATAACAACAATATCAGTATGTAATAAGTAATGATATTGTGTAAATTAAATATAAAAAATACAATCTCCGCATATTTATTCACTAACTCCAAGTTATCATCTGATTATAGTATATTAAATATGAAAAATAATCTTAATACAGTGCATAATGTGTTAAGCCATCGAATCTATCTAATATACAGGTGGATCTTTCAATTGAAGGTGCTACTGCAGTGATAATGCAAGAAAATTGGGAAACGTTATTTTGTTCTAAATATTTTTATTAATAATTTTGCTATTTACTATATAAATGTTGTGCATGAATTTGGAATCTGTGTCAATTTGAAATTCACGCATGTGAAATTCAAATTAGCCAATCAGAATTTTGTATTCAAACACCCACCCCAAATTTAATTGGTAAATTTCAAATTGACACAAATTTGATTTTCACGCACAACATAAATATATATTGTATTGAAATGTAGTGCAGATCATTAAATTTTGTGGACATTTTCTATAATGAAAATCATTTATAGGGAGATCTCTACCCTTAAAAAAAAATTACAAAAGATGAGATTTCTATTGTGTCACAATTTTAAAATAATACTAATACATTAATGCTAATACGTAAGATCTTCCCAACAAATATAAAATGAAGACACTGTAGAAACTCCAGTTACTCCATGACTATGAAATAAGGCCTTCACTTTTACTTTTACAACATTACCATCAATGAATTTGGACTTAAAAATTGAATCAGATTGCTCATGAAACTTGTTTTAAAAATTTTTTTTTGTAAAATCTTTAGGATAAAAAAAATGAGTATGCAGAATGGCCAGAGAGTTAAATTGGAGTGTAGTAAAAATAATATAAATAAATAAATAATGAAAAAAAAAAATTTGTCTTAAAAGAATTAGCCAGTAATTTCAATAATATGGATATGGAGGATATGAAAAAGTATTGTAAATGATGATAGTGATGTTGTTGGTATTAAGGATACCAGCTGCAACTTTTGATGATGGTTGCTACCACCTTTGCGTCATATAAAAATGATTGCAACCACTGGTTGCAACCACCTTTACGACCATTTTGTTTCCTTTTTTGGATTGCGACATGGAACACTAATTACGACCAGTCCACATATCAGTGGTTAAACTAACTGATAATGCATTCTCTTCAATGTGTTTGATAATGAGAGGAAGTGTATGATTATAAGATTTATGAATCAATTGTTTTATAAATTTAACATCGGGAATAGAAAAGGCAGGGTCAAGTGAATTAATAAATGTTTTAAAGGAATCAGATTTAAGTATATTTAATGATTGATTGTCAAAAATAATCCATTCCATTAATAATTGTTGTAGTTTTAATTGTTTATTATTATCATGAGGTTTAATAATCATGCAATTCATAGTACTTTGAACCTAAAACACAGAAATTTACTATTAGTCTTATTAATAAGCAAGCATAAAAGATTTGAAGGATTATATTACCATTAAATCATTTTTTTTAGTCGACTCAACAATCTGGTGCTTTGAATATAAATGAGTAATTAAATTTCCTGTGGATCCATCTGTTACATAACGTTTTTTACAAGTCTTTTCAGTTGTAATTGGTACTTGGCATTCTGAACCTTTTTTACCACTAGGTAAATTTATTTCTGCAAAC